AGCCACTCGTCCGAAAGCTGTTAAAAATTTTCCAATTACAGCTCATTATATTGTTTACAAGCGTACAAAAGAAAATAGACTGAAAAGAGCTAAGGGCATGGCCGAAGGTGGTGCACTACCGAATTTGGTTTTCTTCGATGAGAAAACATTCGTTGTCCAGCAGTTTGTAAACAAACAAATGATCGTGTTTACTTACTTAATCGAATATCATCAGAATAAATGCTGAATATTATCGCGAAAATATTTTGGAGGGTGTATTAAAGCCTTGGGTACGCAAACATTTTGGCCGCAGACCTAGGACAATGCTATGGTGGACGCGCCACACAAGAATGGTTACAAAATGAGGTTCCTCGCTTCATTTCCAGCTCACAATGGCCACCAACATCTGCTGATACCAATCCGTTGGACTAATGTGTCTGGAGTATTTTGGAAAGCAAGGTTGGCACAAAAAAATACCAAAGTGTCGATCACCTCAAGCAAGCGCTTCGTCGGGAATGAGCCAAAATACCACAGAGCAACAATCGGACAGCGTGTGTTGGTTTCATTGGCCGTTTGAAAGCCATAATTTGCGCCAAGGGTGACCAATTCGAACAAATCTTCCGACATTTTTGCTTTCATTCAATAAAATTAAAAAAAGTGTAAAATTATATACGCTATAGAATACAAATTTTGTAATTTTTCACACAAAAGTCAAGGTCCATTTGGCCCGCTAAATATTGACCGATCTATATCAAAACAGACATGGTTTTTTTGCCCGATCCCCTTCTCCATGTAAAAAATCGCGATGTTTGGGCCTCAATTATGGCCTGTGGAGCGACCAAAAAATCAGACAAAAATAGATATAAAATAATCTTCATTGGGCAGAACCCATCCTACATACAAAATTTCGTGAAGATTGGTCCATAACTGTGACTTGTATCGTGTTTACAAATTATAATTGACAGACGGACGGACACACATGTCTAGAGGTGGGCCTAGGACCAATATTTAGCGGCGCTCCACAAAGCTATAATACTCTGGCAGTATAGTTGTGTAGGGTATAATTAATAATTTTAGTTTTATTAAGATAGTTACTTTATATATTCGCAAAGCTTTTTCGGAACTTAATTGCATAGAAACTAGTAGGTTGTGTGCCATTTTTTGTGTATTTTTGAGCAAGTTCGTTATAACAAAATTAAAATATATGAAAACCGAATGTTAGGGTCGAATATATAGTTCCATTGAAAAAAATTCCCTATATCCGTAGTCCGCTATAAGAGTAAAGATTTGTATGAAAAACATGTCTACGCGACCAGATAATGTGTTCGCTAAAAAAGAAAGTTCGTTATGAACGTACTCGACTGACTTTTGGCAATTGATCTATTCAATGTACACTTCGATTAACTACACTTAATAAAAACACTAATCTTAAGTGCCAACGGCTTTGGTAAATTCTTATCTTCTTATTTTATCGTTCCTGTAGGTCGTTTCAGTATTCTGTAAAAATGTAGACAAATTGTCGATAAACTTTCAAAAAGCTTTTAATTTTGAAAACAAAATACAGTGGAGTACGTTTATAACGTACCCCGATTATAACGAACTTCATTTGTAACGAACACTTTTCGCGATCCCAAAGTTTTGAGACATATTTTTCATACAAATCTTAACTCTTATAAGGAACAACCGATATAGCGAACTTTTTTTATAACGAACTATTTATTTGGTCCCAACATTCAGTTTTTTTATATTTTAATTTGGTTATAACGAACGTAATACTGCCGATGACAATTGTCAAAAAAGTTGGTTTTTCTCTATCTTTGGCAAACCTTTACAATAAAATGTCAGCTGTAATGTCAGGTTTTTCAAAGAAGAAATAGGCAAAAAGGACACAAAACCTACCTGTTTCTTTACCTTTGATATAACGAACTTCTTCTATAACGAACTAATTTGCTTGGTCCCTATTAGTTCACTATAACCGTGAACTAATAGTACAAATTTTGAACAAAACACGAATTGAAGAATATTTGTCGATAAGTTAACTTCGATGGTGCGAAATGAAAAAAGTAAAGTTTTTCTTCCTTAAATATAATATGAGCAAATGATTTGTGTACGCATTCATCATTAGTAACGCATGGAAAGACATTACTAATGATGAAAATGTATTAAAACTAAAGTCAATATTTTTAATTCATTAAGGCCAAAATATATTATATATAACTTCATTACTCTTAATGATCTTTATCTCAAATCAAGTATTTTTTACATTTGTTTAGTTATGAGAGCAGTGTTTACTTCAGATTTATGCATAGACATAGGAGCGTGGATTTGCATTTGATTTTTCAGATACTTTTTTACTCGACGTTGGGTAGAAAAAATTCTTTCAGCTAATTCTGTATATTATACATATTTATATTTGGAAACAGATTTCTGTCTTATACAACAATGGCATCAAGTGGATCGGGGATTTTTCGCTTTCCATTTTTCATATAATTGTATGATATATTTAGCATCTTTCCATTCAAATTTCATAATTTTCGATAAGGTTTTAATAGTTTTTTCTTCATTTATCAAAAATCTGCTTGTCATATTTACAGTTAGTTCGTCCAACCATGGGACAAAAAATGTAGTTCTATACAAATACTCGGAGTTCGGGTTACGTACCAACCCTTCTTGGTACTGAAACTTCGACTTCTTAGAAATAAATTCAAATTAAATTTTACCATTTTCCCCTCATTTCTTCCAACGATTCTACTATCTCTTCTATAGATTCGTTAAATAAATATTTGTACGCAATTATGCTGCTCAACACATCGTGTTTCACAATACGAATGTGATCGTTTGAAAGATTTATTTATTTGCTTCTCGAAATATTCTACATAAAGGATGATGATTTCCAAAATTATAGAAAGTATACTTCGAATTTTTCGAATCTTCGTAACTGCATTTATACTTCACCACACTGTGGTACAGGGTATTATGTCTTTGTGCATATGTTTGTAACAGGCAAAAGGAAACGAGATAGACACATGTTTCCTTTTTAGAATATGCATAGAATCACTTTTTAAGTCGATTTATGCATGTCCGTCCGTCTGTCTGTCCATGTTATCGCCACATATATATTCGTCCGATTTAATGTAAATGGTGTACCAATGTCCCTATATAACGTTCGATTTGCACGAAATTTGGCATAGCGTAATGAATTATGTCTAGAATGATGTGTGTTAAGTTTCCTGGAAATCGGTCCAGATTTAGATATAGCTCCCATATATATTTTCGTCCGATTTAAGGTAAATGGTGCGCCAAAGTCCCAAAATATCTTTCGATCTGCACGAAATTGGGCGCAGCGGAATTATTTAGGTCTAGAATATTGAGTGTTAAGTTTCCTGAAAATTGGTTCAGATTTAGATATAGCTCCCAATATATTTTCGTCCGATTTTATGTAAATGGTGCACCAAAATCTCTATATATATCCTTCGGTTTGCACGAAACTTGACATAGCGTACTGAATTGATACTAGAATAATGTGTGCAAAGTTTCGTGACAATCGGTTCAGATTTAGATATAGCTCCCATATATATTTTCATCCGATTTAAGGTAATTGGTGCACCAAAGACCCTATATATCTTTCGATTTATACGAAATTTGGCATAGCGTACTGAATTGCGTCTATAATAATGTGTACAAAGTTTCGTGAAAATCGGTTCAGATTTAGATATAGCTCCCATATATATTTTCATCCGATTTTAGGTAATTGGTGCACCAAAATCTTTGAAAATCATTCGATTTGCACGAAATTTGTCATAGCGTACTGAATTAAGGCTGGAATGACGTGTGCTAAGTTTCGTGAAAATTGGTTTCCGTCCGATTTTAAGTAATTGGTGGACCAAAATCTCTATATATCTTTCGATTTGCACGAATTTTGGTATAGGGTACTGAATTAAGTCTAGTAGAATGATGTTGCTAAGCTTCGTGAAAATATCCATAGCTAGGCCGATTGACAATACGTACTGATGTAATATAAATAAGTCTCTGGCAAGTTTCCCTGAAATCGTTTCTTCATATGTAGAATATACCCAAAGTGGTGAAGGGTATCATATAGTAGGCCCAGTCCGACTTTATTACTTTCCTTACTGTTTTTTTTTTCGAAAAACGATACATAGGGGACGTAATGCTCATTTTGTAGGCTTTTACTTTGGCGCAAATGCTGTGAAATTAATAGCTAAGCCACAAATCGAGAAAAAAAAACATAAAAAAACTTATGTTGCCTCACCCTGTTTTTACCCTTTTCCACACAAATAAACTTTGTAGGTCAATATCATGAAAAGTTTGCAACGACAGATCAATAAATCCAAAACTATTTAATTTTTCTCATGTACTTTGATAATTCCGGTGTTATAAAAGGGTGAAGTTCGGCTTCAGCCATGTTAAAAATTGGCAATGTTGCCCATATATTTGTTTTTCTTTTTTCCTTTAATAGATATTGCTTTACATTTATCAATATTAAGTTTTAATTTTCATATTGTAAAATAGTCATTAAGTATTCTATAGTCATATAGTATTTTTGTAAATTGGTCATAAAACAGCTTATTCAAAAATTATAGAGTTTGCAAAATTTAACTGCACAGAATTCTTTCAGTAATCTGCAGTAAGTTTTTTTTTGTTGTTGAACTGTGAAACTTGCTCTCTCGCTTTACTCGCTTTTACTTGATTTTTGAGTAAAGAGACAACATTTAGTACCATTTGGTAACAATTGTTATCATATAAATACATGTGTTCTACTTTTGTGGTGAAAAACGTCGAACGAGCTAGTTGAATTTTAGGTAAGGCTGTGAAATGTTATGTAGTACAAAAACAAAAACGTCGATTATGTTTTTAAATTGACAGTATTCTCGATTACAAAAAAGATTACCAATTTCAGTATAATTAGAAAAAGTTCTAAAACAACAAACGAATATCACAAGGAGTATGCAAAATACAAAGAAAAGAAACCAATTTGGAAAATAACAATTTAATACACTTACCCTGCAACTTCTTCTCCGTCTCCCAAAATTTTTGCAATTCCGTAAAGTATTTATCCAGTATGAAGACTTTTGAAAGGCCTAATGTGGCCATCGTTGATCAACATTTGTATTTCAATGAAATAACATTAAATAAAATTGTTGTTGAAGACATTTGTGACAATAGTATATTTCTCAGCGATTCACAAATTATTTCACTTTTTCTAATATCTTTAATTTCGAGAAATAAAAACGAATAGCAACACTTAATTATTTATAATGAATGAACACAAAAAATTTAATAATCTGCCCCTCAGTATGGCAAAATAAAAAAAAACGGTTTTGTTCATTTTCTAAGAATTCGCTAAGGAATTCTTTCTTCACTGGCTAATATTTCGTTAGGAATTTTTAAATAGCACTTCTTCATCGGTTTGGGTTTTGTTTTTTGTTATGGTTCCAAAGATACACTTTTTTCCGAAGATTTGGTACAGAAACGCGTTTGAGGCCACTTCTATTTGTTGTTATTTGAAATTGTGTTCGTTGTTGTTGTTGCTATTCTTGTTGTTTTGTCAAACTGGTTTCCAAGATTTGGTTTTTGGGATACACGAATTTATATTAGTATGTATTTGTTGTTGTGGTGTAGATACCAGACACTTTTTACAAAGTTTTGTTTTTCTTTTCTGTTGTTGTTGTTTTTTTTTTTTAATTTTGCTATTTGCACATGAAAACTGACAGCTTGATTAGTGGAGTAGCTAGTTGCACATGGTCACTACAGAGGGAGCCAAAAGTATATTAGGCACATCTACACTTTTGTAGTTCTTTATATGTTTTGGTAAAAAAATAAGTCCATTTCGATGGCTGTCTGCGATGAAGAGATATTTGTATATTGTTCCACCTTCGCGTCAAGTGAATATTAAATTTGCAATTCTGTTTGCAACACCTCGAAATATACGTTGGAGGTTCCATAAATTTAAGATAAAAGTCCTATGATGGGATACATTTTTTGACGCATTTCCACACCGAAGTGGTTGTAAGTTGGCATACCTTGAAGATGAAGAACATCTTTGCAAAAAACGTTTGATATCAAAGACCCAGCCCAATTTTCGGCAATTTTCAACCGTAGTGGCTCGAATTTTCTTGTAGAATACAAAACTTCTTCCACGAAATTTTTCAATATTTTTACATAGTCTCCCTACAAATCCGTATGTAAAACCTCGAAATATTCTACTGAGATCCCATAAAGATTATTAATATTGTTCCACTTTTAGGTAACCCCCATACAACGGTATTTGGAAACATTTGGACACGTTTTCAACCGAATTGGCTCTAATTTGATATTTTAGTTTTTAATGAGTTGTCAAATCTTCATCCCTAAAAATATAAATATCGGTTTACGTTTTGGGGTTAGTGCCCATACATCGGTACCGAACTATATTCGGTATTTTTAAGATTTTTTCGCATTTTCTTAATTTGTAGTATAAGTTGAAAGAAAATTGGATTTTCCAGGCCAAAATAAAATATTTTGAATACAGTCTGATCTGAATAAAATTGTAACCCCCGTCCTATAACCGAAAATCGGAATTAAATAACATTGTAGTAACGACAAATGACACTCATTTTATATACCAGTAATCACATCGATAAACATACATATACATGTACATACGTACATATAGATTATGTATTTGTTGTAGTCTCATGTACGATAGTTTTTTGTTTTGTTGCCATCGTGTTGAAAGGCTAAGAAGTTAAAGGCATGCAACAAGTTTTCAAATTCACCGAGCTTCATTGCAACTGCCATCCAGTGTTTTTTTTTTCTTTTTCAACATTCTGTCTGTCTGTCTGTCTGAGCTTAAACATTTCATTTGTTGTTTGGTTGGTTTTGTTTATTTTCTTTCTTTTGTTAAATATTACTGTTCGCTTCTACTATGCCACACATTTGTATTTTTGGTGTGCAAAATTTCTTATTTTTGTTTCGGTTATTCTGTGTCACTTCACAGATTCTTGTTCTTCTTCTGCATTCACAGATTTGGGCCTGATGATTTGAGAAGGTATGTGTGTGAGCATCTGCGACTTAAATGTGAACAACATCCACAGTGGAAGACAATGTAGCTTTATCGATGTGTAACATACTAAAATGCCTGGACTTTTTAGATTTCAATCCATATTAAATATGTCGTCCCGAAATTAAGACCTCATTAACTTAATATTCTTGGTGGATGTAATATTCTCTATCGATTTTACAATATTTCTACTGTCGATCTAACACTACTACTACAGTATATCCCCAATAGATTTTGCACTGACATCGCTATTATTCTTAGGATATTGCTAATGGAGTAATGGTGGTCAAAGTTTTAGTATAGCTCCCATATAAAGGTACTGACCAATTTTCTATATTTTGAGGGCATAGCCGCATTTTCCAATCGAAAAGTTGAGGACGAATTCGAGTAAAATGGCTTATTCAAATAAATGCTTGCTCGGCAAGACATCTCGGACTCGGGCCAACTGTGAAACTTAAGAACTACAGCTTCGAGGTAGTCAAAGATTTTATATACTTTGGTACCGCCATAAATAAAACGAATGACATCAGTTTTGAAATTCGGAGAAGGATAGTGATGGCCAACCAGTGCTACTATGGTCTGAGCAAACAACTCAAAAGCAAGGCCATCTCCCGCCAGACCAAACTCACACTCTACAAGACGCTGATACTACCCGTGCTGTTATATGGATCTGAAGCATGGGTACTTACGCAAGCAGATGAGGCACCTCTTGGAGTGTTTGAGAGCAAAATTCTCCGAAAGATCTATGGGCCGATCTGCGTTGACGGTAAATATCGCCGTCGAATGAAACATGAGTTGTATCAGCTATTCTCGGACATCGACATTGTTAGACATATTGAACTGCAGTGACTACGTTGGCTAGGTCATGTTGTGAGAATGGATGAAGATCAAAGCGAACCAGCTGATGGTTCACGCAGAAGGGGAAGGCCAAGAATACTATGGGAAGATCAAGTCAAAGACAACATTGCCGAAAATGGACTTTCAAATTGGAAAAACTGTGCAAAAGACCGACGCGCCTGGAAATCTTTTCTAAGCTTGGCTTATGGAACGAAAGTTCTGTCACAAGCCAGCTAAGTAAGTAAGTAAAGTCAGTAAGACATATACAATCAGTCGTACAGAAATGCATATGCTTCGAAAATCAATGTCCATTCTACCTTCTTTTCTGTTTTTTTCACATTTACTCTAGAGATATTATAATTCCTAAGTGGGTAATTTGCAATCTGCATATTTTCATAACTCCCACTGTGATATTCACGTTAGAAATGTTAATTGTCGGGTACCTTGTTTTGTTACGTATTTTCTTTATCTTCTTCTTCTCCTCCTATTTGTTTTGTGTCTTTCATTTTCTATTCGTTTACAATTTTCGGTATATTGTTATTATTTTTCTTTTTACTGTACGAAAAACTTGTTGCCACCAATAACAATAAGAAAATACCGCCAACATTACCCAAGTCCACATGATCGCGTTGTATATTTATTCCATTCCATTTGCTTTGTCGTTGTTTTTGTTGCTGTTGTTGGTGTCATTATTATCATTACCATATACCACCAGCACTGGACCCAACAATAACAACATCCAGTCTTAATGATCTCTTATGTTGAATAGTTGGTGTTTGTTGCTTTTATTGTTGATGGTTTTGTTGTCTGCCTGCCTGGCTAACTGACTGACTGTGTACCTCTTTTGCACTCACACTTCAACACCATTTAAGTCAGACTTTTTCCAAAAGCACACATATGTATGTATGTATGCCTATGTACCTCTTCTGTCTAACCACCAACCAACACATGATCACGCGAACTTACTCCACCAAACCAAGACAAGTCTCACATACAGTGACTCCCCGCGTCCATGTAAACGGTTTGAATTGTTTCTTGATAGGTCTGACTCGCGCTTGCCTGGGTCTGGTACTTTGAAAGTAACCGTCAGATACATACAAATTCAAACAACAACAACGACACCAAAAAACACACACTTCGCGATATTTGTACCTTTAAGGTATCCACACACAAAACGAGATTTTTTTTCAAAAATGAGGTTTACTTGGTTTGCTGAAAATCTTTGATGATAAATTTTTCAAATGGCGATTTTTTTTGGAAATTCTAATTTTCTTTGTGTAACTTTATTTCATTTTTTCATGTAATTTTATTGACCATTTCTATTTGTTAGCAAATAAACATTCAGTAGACAAAACCACTTAATTACTATACATATTTTGATTAGTTATTGTTGTTTTTTTTTCTTCTTTCTTTATTTAAATTTTTTGGTTTCCGTTTTTAAGTCAATTCACTCTTAGGGTTCTTTTGGAACTAACGACCGTGGCTAAAATTTATACACACCAATCACTTCACCATTGCATTTGTAGACACAATCTCTCACTCTCTCTTGCTCTTTTATATGAGAAATCTGCAAACCCCAAATTTAAACTTTCTGGAGAGTCAATAATAACCGGCTTTTATGTTGTATTACATACACACACATGGCTCTTTGAGTTCCTTCCGTTCTCTCTGTTGTTGTTCGTTCAATCAAAACACGACTCACCTGTCTTAAGTCTTTCGAAGAAACTGCATGAATTGGAATTTATCTTTTATGTCTGGGAATTTAGTATTGAGATTTATCTTAACACAGTGGAATTACTGACTAAATAGATAATGTGTCGTTAATGTGATTGCGCCATAAAGTATGCTTCCATTTTAAATTATAAAGGAAAGAGTCTATACCATGTCGAAATGTTTGCACATTAAAAAAGCCGTTCTTCTATTGATCTTACAATTTAGGTGCCCTTGAATTATAAAAATATTTATATATATATAATATATATATATATATATATAATATATATATACAGTGGTGGTCACAGAATTAAAACATTTACTGTGGTAAACATTTTTTTGATCAGCTCTCGATTCGTTTGAAGTATTTTTGAAATTTTTTTAATTCAGAACACTTCGATGTACTGCACTTAAGAGATTTAGTGCGAAAATAGAAAATTATTGTATGCAATTTTCCATTAATAACGGTTTTTATGAAAACACATCGATTTTGAAGTGGCCATATAATTAAAACATTGTGTGATTTTTTACTTTACTGCATTTTTTGAAAATATATTTAAAAAAGCTCTTTAATTTAGTACAATTATGTAAACTAACCACTGATAGAATCATTTACAGATAAAAATATCAGAAAAAATCTATTAAAATTGCCAAAAATTTGTACAGTACACATAACATTCAGAAAACACCCTTATTATAGAAAATAAAGGTCCGAATGTACTAGAAATTGCTGGAATTAGTAAAAAACAATTAATAATTCTCAAAATGAATAAATATTAGAAATAAAAACTCAAAAAACTGGGAATTAACCTAAAGGAACGATTCAATTTCAATAGCCTTTACTAAAGAAGGCCGGAATATTTTTGCAGTATGTGAGAAAATATCGATTGATATTGGTATTTATTATATCAAATCGATTGTTCGAGTAGTACAGAATATATTTTATCAAAAAATATGTAAGTCACAACAGAACGAACAGAGATCAACGCCTATATTGACGAGTATAGGTTTCTGGCACACAGCAGCATTTTTGATGTTCAACACAAGTCTTCAAATATTTGTCAAAGTGTACAATTTTTCCTAATTTATTACTAAAATAGATTAATTGGAAGTTATTCTCTTCATAAAATATTATTTTGGAAAAATATTGTCATGTTCAATAGATTTTAAGGGTCAAGAGTTGACCATCAATCATGCTGCTGTGTGCCAGAAACCTATACTCGTCAACATAGGCGTTGATCTCTGTTCGTTCTGTTGTGACTGATATATTTTTTGATAAAATATATTCTGTACTACTCGAACAATCGATTTGATATAATAAATACCAATATCAATCGATATTTTCTCACATACTGCAAAAATATTCCGGCCTTTTTTAATAAAGGCTATTGAAATTGAATCGTTCCTTTAGGTTAATTCCCATTTTTTGAGTTTTTATTTCAAATATTTATTCATTTTGAGAATTATTAATTGTTTTTTACTAATTCCAGCAATTTCTAGTGCATTCGGACCTTTATTTTCTATAATAAGGGTGTTTTCTGAATGTTATGTGTGCTATACAAATTTTTGGCAATTTTGATAGATTTTACAGATTTTTTCAGATATTTTTATCTGTAAATGATTCTATCAGTGCTTAGTTTACATAATTGTACTAAATTAAAGAGCTTTTTTAAAAATATTTTCAAAAAAATGCAGTAAAGTAAAAAATCACACAATGTTTTAATTATATGGCCACTTCAAAATCGATGTGTTTTCATAAAAACCGTTATTTATGGAAAATTGCATGCAATAATTTTCTATTTTCGCACTAAATCTCTTAAGTGCAGTACATCGAAGTGTTCTGAATTAAAAAATTTTCAAAAATACTGCAAACGAATCGAGGGCTGTCAAAAAATCAAAAAATGTTTACCACAGTATATATAATATATATATATATATAATATATATATATATAATATATATATATATTTAATTTTTTTGTTTCTCTGATAACATATTGACAACGGCCATCCAAAAAGAGATCACTTGTAAATATTTGTATGTTTTTCCATCAGAAATAAACTTTTTATGAGTTCTCGTTTTTCTTTTGTACAATGTTTTCCAAGGCCCAATAAAAAACCAGTAAGGAAAGTAGTAAAGTCGGACGGGGCCGACTATATGATACCTTTCACCACTATGGGTATATTAAACAGGACTATTATCATGAAATTGTATGAAATAAAATATGTGATATTTATCTAAATGTCAAACGACCTAGATCTATCCATAAACATGTCATTCGTTTGTTACAATGGAACAAAAGTATGTAAATCGACTTCAAACAAATATCAAAAGGTCATCCGTTGGGCTAGTCTGTACTTCTAGAAAACCCAACTACGTTATTCTATGCTCACTTTTGTACGTTGTGATGTCAATCTAACAAATATTAGGAGTTTGATGCACAATTTACTTATATATGGATGTTATATCCAAATATGAACCGATTTCAACGAAACTTGTCACAGGTTAGGTTATACTGATTTCAGTACGTTTTGTTCCTATCAGCCATATATTGGTTCCTCGGTGCGTCAATTACTTAAAATCAATCTATAATATAAGGGAGCTATATCTAAATATCAACCGATTTTCACTAAACATGGCACACATTATTCTGGATTAAATTCAAAACGCTATGCAACATAAGAACTTGGTACATTATTTAGATTAAATCGGACGAAAATATATATATCTAAATCTGAATCGATTTTCACGAAACTCAGCACACATCATTCCAGCATCAATTCAGTACGTTATGCCAAATTTCGTGCAAATCGAAAGATATATGGGACTTTGGTGCACTATTTACATGAAATCGGACGAAACTATATATGGGAGCTATATCTAAATCTGGACCGATTTTCACGAAACATACCAGACAGCATTCTAGGCTCAATTCAGTACGTTATTCCAAATTTCGTGCAAATCGAAAGATATATCGGGACTTTGGTGCACCATTTACATGAAATCGGACGAAACTATATATGGGAGCTATATCTAAATCTGGACCGATTTTCACGAAACTTGACAGACATCACTCTAGGTTCAATTCAGTACGTTATGCCAAATTTCGTGCAAATCGAAAGATATATTGGGGCTTTGGTGCACAATTTACATGAAATCGGACGAAACTATATATGGGAGCTATATCTAAATATGGACCGATTTTCATGAAACTTGGCAGACATCACTCTAGGTTCAATTCAGTGCGTTGTGCCAAATTTCGTGCAAATCAAAAGATATATAGGGATTTTGGTGCACCATTTACATGAAATCGGACGAAACTATATATGAGAGCTATATATAAATTTGGACCAATTTTCACGAAATTTGGCAGACATCACTCTAGGCCCAATTCAGTACGTTATACCAAATTTCGTGCAAATCGAAAGATATATAGGGACTTTGGTACACCATTTACATTAAATCGGACGAATATATATATGGGAGCTATATCTAAATCTGAACCGATTTTTTCCAATTTCAATAGGGTTCGTCCTTGGGCCAAACAAATGAGCTGTGCTAAATTTCATCCAATTCGGATCATAAATGCGACCTGTACTTTGCTCACAAAAATACAGACAGACCGACGGACGGACGGACTTACTTAAATCGACTTAAAAAGTGATTCTATGCATATTCTCTAAAGGAACCATGGGTCTATCTCGTTTCCTTTTGCCTGTTACAAACATATGCACAAAGACATAATACCCTGTACCACAGTGTGGTGAAGGGTATAAAAAACGCACATGGTTTTTTTATAAATTATTTAAAAACTAAAATATGCTTATCACAAAAGCAAATTAAAAATCTGAATATAACGCATTTTTTATACTTTTTCTTACACCACTGCAATTATTTGCAAACGAAAATAAAAGAAAGGCTTACAGAAACAACTGTATCTTTTTCAGATTATTTTAATACTTTAAATGGCAATACCGTATAAAATGTAGAAAGAAATCAGCAATTATTTTTTTTTTATTATTTAAAGAAGTTGTGTTGAACTGCTGTTAATTTGCACGCTACTGTATAGCTTTTCCAGATTAAATATAACCCCTATTAAACGAACATTTTCAAAATTAAATGGAACATTTTACAAATTATACGAACTGGGGTGTTTCTTGACCTATTAAAAATGTAGACAATAATAAAACAATTCATATCATTGTTTATGATAATGTAACATGCATAATGGTAATGTTGGGGCAAGAGATGTATGTCAATCAAATTGGATACCTTACAATAAATATGAAAATGTTACTTTTTGTGCTCGAACCTTATTAAGCCCCGAAATTTTTCCGGGACCATAGAAATATGAATGTGCCCAAGCCTCCCCTACATTCTTTCTGAAAATTAAAAGTCTAATATCAAAAAAGCAAGCACTATATCGACATGAAAATTAGTTTAAATTATTTTTTAGGTTCTTTTTTACAAAGATTATTCGAATATGTACGGATGTAAATAATTTGGACCTTGAAATATACACCTGTTCCAAATTGGTTGTATTTAAAAATGTTATGGTATTAAAAAATAGTATATTTCGGTTATCCCTGGGTCTTTAGCTGATGACTCCATTACAAAATCAACACGGAGGTTTGTCGTCATAAACATCACATTATATGATTCGCCGTCATCTGCAGAAAAACGCATTAAAGAAAGAATACAAAAGTATAATTTTACGCAATCTTAATAATTAGAGAAGGGCAGTGGGTAAATACCCGGTGAATTGGGTAAATATCCAGTAAAATTTTGGTATTTATTTTGGTATCTGTAATACAATATCGTACACCCTATTTTCGGGTTCATGTTATCAAATCGATTTAAAATGGAGAGTTTTACAATACTTTAAAGACGTGGCTAAATACTTGGGTAAATACCCGATTATTTACATTAAAATTTTATATAATCACATTAACTGGCGAACCACTTAACATAGGCGGCCAAAAATTCGGCTGTCGTGTTTTTAATGTCAAAACGAATATTGGTGTGGAAATACATTAAATCGGATGATACAGTTATATGGGGGCTACATCAAAACTTGGACCCAAAGACCCCATTTTTCATACAATTAGTTGTATTGATATGAAAACAATGTGATGCAGATTTTGGCCGCCTATGTCAAGTGGTTCGCCAGTTAATGATTTTATACTCAATTTTTGGGTAAGTACTAAAATAGGGATACCTTTGCATAAGGGCTGCCAAAAAACGTGGACCAACATCAATAAATTTTTGAATGGATATTTGGTGCCCAAAGAGAACTCTCTGTGCCAAATTACAGACAATTTGATCGTAAAATGTGTCTAATACACACCAAAATACCCTACGGTACCAGAAAACGTGGACCTGTATCGATACATTTCTGCATGGACATTTGGTACCCATAGAGAACTCTCTGTGACAAATTACAGCCAATCTGATCGTAGAATGTGTCTAATACACACATATGGGGGCTATGTGATAAGGATCTATACTATGAACGATTCTATAAATATATGGACAACCTGCAAACTGAAGTTTTTGGAAATAAAGCCATAACTGAAGTTGATTTTTCTAAAATTCGTTTACGTTATACATATTTGGATGCCGAAAAATATTATAGTTTTTTGGATCATGTCAAGAATGAAGAAGGCATAACATTTGATGAGTTCTGTGGGTTGCGTCTTTTCCTTAATAATTTGGATGATTTTTCCATTGCCATGGGTATGTACACCTGGCTGATGGTGCCATTGCCAAAGATGAATTTTCTAGAGCTGTCAATATCTGCACCGTCGTGAAAGTGTATTCACGTCATTTAATTGATATCGTTTTGCCATTTTCGATCAGGATGGTTTGCTCTCCTGCAAGGAATTCATAGCCATCATGATTGTAATGTCACACTATTTAACTAAAATATTTTTGTAACCCTCCAATATTACAGTCGTTTACTTAAACAACACAATGAAACAAATCATCTCTCACACGTGAAAAACATGACAAGACTATGAACAATCATTTTTTTTTATATTGAATGCACATAAATATTGTTATTTTATTGCATTAATTTTAAGTTATGATTTTCAGATATAACCAGTAAGGAAAGTTCAAAAGTCGGACCCCTCACCACTTTGGGTACATACAAGAGATGCTCATATGTACAATTTCCTTTAGGTAAAATAGACATAGCATCTATGGAGGACCATTGAAATGGAATCGGACGAAATTAACAGCTTGAAGCACATAGATATTTGAACTAAATTTAAACAACCCATACACATACCAATACATGTCATTTTAGGTTTGATTTGGTACCCTGAGCCGATTTCAAACATAACAAAAAGCATTCTAGACAAAATGCCACACTCGTTGCTAAATTTCGTGAAAACACTTAGACTCCTCGGTGCTCCATTTACATAAAATCGGACGAAACTACATATGGGAGCTATATCTATATATGAACAGATTCCAACAAAACTTCGCATACATCAATCATACATCGCGGACGCCAACCTGCAGTAACTTTAATACGCTATGCAAAATTTTGTCTCTATCGGACCAATATTGGCAATATGGTGCTCCATTTACATAGAGCTATATCTAAACCTGAAGCGTTTTTTCCCCAGTTTCGTCCTTAGGCCAAATAAGTGACTTGTGCCAAATTTCATCCAAATCGGATCATGAATGCGACCTGTAGTTTGTTACAAGTATACATGAACAGACGGACAGATGGACATGCATAAATTAAGTCAAAAAGCGATTCTATGAATATTCTCAAAAGGAACCATGTGGCTATCTCGTTTCCTGTTGTCTGTTACTAACATATGCACAAAGTCATTATGCCACCCTGTACCACAGTATGGTGAAGGGTATAAAAAACCAAGTAGATACTTCTGACTGTGACTTACTGTACCTATTATGCAGACAGTCTACTCCATGTGAGTAGAAATATTTTTGACTTTCAAAAAGTTTATGGTTTATGAAAATCAAGACAAAAATGACACGTACGGAGTCGAATTAGAAGAATAAAATGTTCCAAAAAATCTTGTTGCATTCTGTTAATCATTAAACAAATATAAAAATTCTTAAATTCAACATAACATTAAAACCCTTTTATCTGTATTTGTTCGTTCGAAGACACCGTTTATCTTCAAACCAATTCGGCTAGTTGTGAATGCCAAAACTTGTTATTTTTCGCATGAAGTGGAAAATTAACTTATATAAATATATATGCAATAATAATAACAATGAAAATGTCCACTGGATAAATTACCTGGTGTTCCATTGTTTAATGTCTTATTGAGAACTTCGGATTTTCGTTTGGTCATGGGTAAAGTGTATATTGCCGAACGTTTGGTGAATCTTTGGACCATTTCTTCTGATGACGATGATGTCTTTACTGTTATAGGATTCCCAGGGGAGCGATACAACGATTGTTCCCTAGATGAATTCGAAATTTGTTTCTTTTGTTTATTTCGTAATGGGGTATTTCCACTCGAAGATGACGCCGATTGTGAGTTACTAAAAATTTAAAAGTTTTTGAAATATTACTCTCAAAATTATCCAAAGTCTATTTCTTATTTACCTAATTGCTTTATAATACTGACAAAAGAAATCTGGCCGTATACGATATTGTTGTATAATCGCTTCACAGTAACGTAAAAAGCGTGGATTTGTAGATAAATCGGTAGAATCATCTTCATTAATATTATTTCGGAACTGTTTGGCTGTGTCATCTTTATGGTTTTTCTCTTGGTTGCGATCAAAGAGTTCAGCAGTTTCCTCCTCGATCTCTGGTATATTGTCAAAGAAATCGTTGGTCCTTTTATAGCTGCCACTATTGCTGTTTGTGCAGCTGCTCTCATGTCCACTGCTACCACTTGATGCGGTTTTACGGGTATTATCTACTTTCTTAACGTTTCCTTCAAACGTTAAATCTGTATGAGTTTTTGACAAACTTATGCGTCGATAATAATCTTCGTATGTCTCATCCGGGAACAACATATCATGTTTGATGTAATTGCACAGACTATGTCCCACTACTATGCTCTGGTGTCAGTTACGAATGATGGTTATTTGTTCACCTTCAACTGTAAATAGAAATAAAAAAATAAAAAAAACATTAACTTTATTGCAGGAAGAAAAAATGCATCTGACACTCTTCGAGTTCTGCCAACTTCTCTGTGTGTGTTCCCAATTAAATTTTGTTATTCTAAATTGTTGTTGTTTTATGTTATCTTGGAAGAACTAGCGGGCAGATATATTTTGTGACGAGTTTCTGTTCATTTGTAGAAGGAGACATGTCATGCTCTTCATATTATATTAAATTACACAGTCATGATTTTTCTATAAATTGCATTTTTGTTGGTTTTGACAACCAAAACGTTATTTCGTTATGGAGCGTATATTAATGTTGTCATTCCGTTTGTAACTCATCGAAATATTCATTTTCGACCCTATAAAGTATAGTATATATATTCTTGATCAGTGATTATTTATACTCTTTCGAGTCGAGCTTGAAGATCTAAGTTTTTGCAATGAAAAGGAAAGCCAGGAGAAGAACCTACGTACCCAATGAAAAGGAAAGCCAGGAGAAGAACCTACGTACCCACCATTATCAGGGCAAAATTCTTAGACGATCCGTCCCTCTGTCCGTTCGTCCGTCTGTTGTAATCACGCTATCTTTTGAAGGAATTGAGATAGGGTGCTGAAATTTTGCATAGGTTTGTCTTTTGTCTGCAGGCAGGTCAAGTTCGAAGATATCGCTCCACGTTTAGACATAGCTCCCATATAACAGTATTTCGGGGGTTTTTTCGTATTTTTCCACCGAATTGACTGTAATTTAGTATTTTGAGTTCTTAATAGGTACCAAATCTATCGGCAAAAAATTATAAATATAATTAATTTTTTCGGATATCGCCCATATAAGGGTACACCCCAATTTTCGGTATTTTGGGGTTCTCTAGCGCGCTTTTCAAGTGAATTCGCAGCAATTTGGTATTTTGTAGTCGTATATGGTAACAAATCTCTCTACCACTAAATGTTTAATATTCGCCCTTTTTTTGGCGTCGTCCCCATATAACCCCATTTTTATACCTACCACCATAGTATGAAAGGTATATTAGTTCTGTTTTTCCGTTTGTAACGCATCGGAATAATCATTTCCGACCCTATAAAGTATATATATATATATATATATATTCTGGATCAGCGTAAAATTCTATGACGATCTAGCCATGTCCGTCTGTCTGTATGTTGTAATCACTCTAGCCTCTAAAAGAAATTGAGATAGATCGCCAAAATTTTGCATAGTCTTTTGTGTGCAGGCAGGTCAAATTCGAAGATGGGCTTTGTCGGTCCACGTTTAGGCATAGCTCCCATGGGTTTTTATTGGATATCAAATATCTCCACTAAAAATTATAAATATAAGTACATTTTTTCTGGTAGCCCCCATATAAGGGTACCCGCAAATTTCGGCATTTTGTGGTTCTTGAGCGCGTTTTTCAACCGAATTCACTGAAATTTGGTATTTTGTAGTCGTATATGGTAACAAATTCCCCTACAAAAAATATATTATTATTCACCCCCTTTAAGGGGTACTCCCCATATAACACCATAAAATAGTTAACTGATTTGTTCCGGGTTTTGGTGTGGCCTCCATATATCCGTATTCCACCACTGTATGAGGGATATCCTGTACTCGAAGTTGTTAGTTTATACCATTTATCCGATTGTATAATACCCTTCACCACTAAGGGTATATAAAACAGATGCATCCTAACAGACATCGCATTTATGAAGGATAATTAACATGAAATTGGATGAGCTAAAATATGTTATCTTTATCTAAATGTGAACCAACTTAGATCAATCAATTTCAAACAAAAATCAGTCGGACATCCGTTGAGCTATGTCTGCACTTCTACGTCATTCACTGCTCAATTTTGTACGTTGTGCAAAGTTGCAGGTCAATTTGACAAACATGAGGAGTTTGGTGGTGATTAAAATATATGTAAGATATATCCAAATATGAATCGATTTCAACTAAACTTGATATGTTATACTAATGTTAGTATGTTTTGTTCCTACCTGTCATATTTTGGGTCCTTGGTGCATCATTAACATAATATCAGACGATAATATATATCCGAATCTGAACAGATTTCAACAAAACTTTTCACAAGTTATGTTAGTAACTGGAGTACGTTGTGGACAATTTTGTCCCAATCGGCTTAACTCTGGGTCTTTGGTGGACTATTTACCAAAAATCGGACGAAACTATATACTATATATATCTAAATCTGAACCGATTTTCCCCATTTTAAATTGTGATCGTCCTAAGGCCAAATAAATGAGCTGTGCCAAATTTTACAATTTAACGTGGGAAGACAGACGGGCGGACATGCAAAAATCTACTCAGAAAGTACTTACAGTAGATATCGGATATAAGCACATCTCATATAAGAAACAATCGGACATAAGAAACATTATCAAAAACACTGAGCCTTTTTACATCCATCCATATAAAAAAACGCATAAAAGAAAGAAATCTCCGACTATTTAAGTTTCTTATATCCAATATCAACTGTACATGCATATTCTCAAAAGGAAACCTATGTCTATCTTGTTTATTTTTGCATGTTGCAATCTGACTGAAATAACTGAAAATTCCATTGGATTGCATTTTGGCTGATAATCGATTGCTCTGATCGGAAAAAAATGTATTCCATAAGACTACTTGTACAAAAATCATAAAAAGGAAGAATATTCAAATAATGGGTATATGAAATCATTATTTTATTTGGTACTTGTATGTAGTTTTGTAATATTTATCCCAAAATCATAAAACTATTTTTTTCGAATATCCGCGTAATTTGTACACTTCATTGTAATAATTATGTTGGTTGTGTAACAGTCACCAAGGTATGAATTATAGATGGATGCATGTATAATTTTGACGTTTATTATATAACAGTTTTTTATTTATAATTCCTGCATTTTACCCTTTAAGAAAAACATTTTTCATACTAACATTTTACAAGGATATCTCCCAATATTATGGGAAAATCACATTAGTTTAGTAAATTAATGAAAATTTTATCCAAAGCGGTATAATGTTGCCACAAAGACTGGTCAAAATACCTGTTTCTAATCTCTTGGTACGGTACAGAACTCTATGGAACGGTACCATAATGTTTATTTTCCAACGCTGCTGTATACATATTGCTTATAATTGTTGGAAAAATGTGCACAATAATCTTAGAGATGCACATACAAAAATTATATTTTTCTCTTAAACGGTACTCGTTTCGTTTTTTGTAAAAAAAGTCTTTCTCTTATAAGAATTTTCAATTAACCGGATTTTCTTTTAAGCGAAGTTAAGTGTTTGAAAATTCATTCAAAATTATAATTTTTAGTTGCAATTAACCGATTTTTTCGATAAACCAGCGTTCGCTTATCCGTATTCGACTGTATACAATACAGAACTGATCCTTGAATTGTACTTCTGGCATCATACATTCAACCCACTGGCGGAATCCATGATTGCCAAAATGAACTGTTCTAATCTAAACATCAGTAATTTTTTTCAATAATTTGTGTATTGATGCAGTTAGGAAGACACCGAATATAGGGCCCAATCCACCAAAAGTCCATTGCTTCCAATTCCTGTTGCGGGGGCGTCAACGATATTGCGAAAAGTGTTGTCAGTATATGCCAGGACATTCCGTTTTTTTTCAGCTGTTGCTGACGGTCATTGTACAGCTGTCGACTAATCCTCCAATATGATGGACCGTACGTCTTTTTAAAGATTCATTTAAAGATTGCATGTGAATATTACTATTTTATTATGTGTAAATGCATGTATAGATATGCATGTATATATTCCAGAAAATCCATGGCAAGCTAATAACATTGTAACCATAGGCTTATGCAATGATATACTTCTCTGTCATGTTCACCAAAAATATTAGTTTTCTTTTTTACTTTTTACGAACATCAAGGAAAACCGACAAAAAATATTTTATGTATAACACAATTGGATGAATGTAGGCCTTACAAATTACAGGCTCCCCAAAAATGTATACAAAAAAAGTAATTAATTCTTTATTATATTAAAAACAACTCAAAGACACATTTTGTTTGTATTCAGAGTAGATTGAATTTATATAATACATTCTCTTACATTCTCCTGTAATAGATTACCGCAAAGATATTCATTACAATCATTAAGTGGAATAACAAAACGCACTTAGCCCCCGGTATCCTAAAGCGAAAGAGGCCCATACCAAATGATCACCTCCAATTATGTTTCTGACATTCGTGCATTATTTCAACTCGGACAACTGAGCATGTGGGTGTGTTCATTATAACGCAAAAGGTCAAGATCAAGGCTTGGCCACAAAGGTTCGATGTTCGCAATAGTGTTCGTTTGTTATCGTGATTCCGTTTTTTCTTTTCTTGTTTTTGGTTTTCATAAACAAAAAAGGAAGGACAGATTGCCGACACACACACACACACCAAGTCATTCCTGTTGACCAAGCAACCTAAAACAAAGTTGAAAGCCTTCAAGCGAATGATTGGATCTGTGAGTGAGCAAACAATCATGCAAGGCCAGATCATGGAGGTATACATAAAATTATCCAAATTTATACACGTGTAAATAAATATATGTATATAAGTACACAGACATTTATAAGAGTGGGTTCAGGATTTGCTTGGTGCGAATTGTTGACCAAAACAACTCATTAATACTAGTCTTGGGCAATCTAGTTCAGTTCAGTGATCGAACGAACTAGTTCATTTTTTAAAAGTTAACTAGGTGGTTCACCTCGTTCAGTTGCTTATATCGTTCAAATGATTACTCAGTTCAATTGGCATGTCAGCGTATTCCAATTAAGTTCTGGTAGTTCGACCAACCGTAAAGAATAATTACCTTTCAAAATCATTTGAAGGACTTTCCTATTTTTTCTTCACTTTTTTAATGGGTGGTGGTCGATGGCATA